TTTTATAGTTGTTCATTTAAGATTCCAGGAAGAAAAATTCAATTAGCCACAGAAGGGGCAAACTGAGATGGCTCAATTTGAAGGAGAAACTCAACACTTACGTAGTATTAAAACAAAACCTTTTTTGACCCAATAATCAATGTTACCAAACAAGATCTATGATGTTCTTCGAATGCGTATTAAAAATCTATTAGATGCCCAACTTACGTTGGACCCTGAGGAGCCAAAATGAGTAAGATGGTCCTCACCCCTTAGAAATATACAGTTTAGTACAGAAGACACACAAGTAAACCACTTGGTGACAGTTCCGTGTAGTGGAAGGCTATGAAGTGAGCACATGGTGTTAGTGGATCCCGGGAAGGGCCCCACAATCAGGATTAGCTCTTAGCATCTCAGGAAACATCAGCCCACCCTCCTGGGAGCAAAGCCAACTCTCTCACTGAGTTACCAGTGCTTGGGGAATTAAGGAGGTACAAAACACTACCTACACAGTATTGTCTATTCTCAGGGTCAATGACTTCCTCTCTTCAGCAACGGTCACAGGGGATTACTGAACTATATACACAGCAGAAAGAAAGCTCATTGGAGACTCCAACCTATCTACCAAAATTGCACACGGTCTAAATAGAAGGTGGTATCCTGGTTTGGATCTTAGAACAGAAAAAGGTTTTTAAGTGGAAAAACTTGTAAAATCCAAATAAAGTTGTAGTTCAGCTAATGGTATTGTACCAAAGTTAATTTCTTATTAGATGTGACAACATACCATGGTTATATACATATATATATATATATATATATATATATATGTGTGTGTGTGTGCATATATATACACACACATATATACACACACACTATGATTAACCTAATGGTTAACATTAGGGGAAGAACTGGGTCAAAGATATACAGAAACTCTCTGTACTATCTTTGCAACTTTTCTATAAATCTAAAGCTACTCCAAATCCAAATAAAATGTGATTTTTATAAAATTACAACTTGTTCCCCTCTTTACATTCTCATTGCCCCCCCCCCCCAGGATTCTGATCATGGCTCCCTAATCCCTACCCAACCAAGGTAATGCTTGGTTAAAACACTTTTTTCCATTCCCTTTTAATCTTTTCTATAAATCATTTACACAGCCCAGCTGAGTTCCCATCTACACCAAGACATGAGAAACTAGATTATACCTAGGAGGTTTTAATTGTTTTTTTTTCTTCCTAATAGGTTTACCACATACACCAGGAGTATCCTTGGGAGTGGAGCCTCTCCAAGTGGACAAAAGAGGGGTTAAAATAATCTGAGCTGGATCTCTGGATAAGAGCAAGGGGACCCTGCAGAAAATGTATGTTGTATATCATTAGATTACCTTTATCTGATCTCTGGCCAAAAAGGATAATGAATAGAAAATACAAGGAACAGACGCTGACTACCCGTATCTCAACACCAACAGGCAAACTGCACTGAAATGATGCTGCAGCTAGAAGCTCCGAAAAACATGGTGCAAATTCGTCAACTATCTAAGGTAACAGAAATTCATATTGAACAAAAATTCATATTAAAATCATACGGTGTGGTGCTTCGGTAGGGTAAGTGTCCGACTTTTGATTTCAGCTCAGGTCATGATCTCAGGGTTGTAAGATCAAGACCTGTGTCCACTTGAGGTATGGAGCCTTCTTGAATTCTCTCTCCTTCTATCTCTGCCCTCCCCCAGTTAAAAAAAAATATATATGGTACACTTCAATACAGGTTAAAGGATGAAACATACATTTACCAAGACTGTCTGGTTTCTGGTAACTAAATGAATACTCATCTCTATTAAGCCATAACTTGTAGAAGAGGCTTCAAGAGTCCCTAAGGAAAACATCGGTGATAGAACACCCTATCAAGGCGTCAAGCATGTGTGTGTGTGTGTGTGTGTGTGTGCACACATGTACCCACAGACATACACACAAACTGCAACAAGGTTAAGCAACCTCAACAGTTTGAAAACTATTATATAAAAGAATATTATTAGTGAAGGCTAAACATTCATGAAGACTTCAAAGGAAAAGAAACCAAAGAAAGAGAAACTGAAATTTAAACCTAAGCTCTTTAATGACTAAAGTCATTTCAAAAGTAAAATGATAAACTGGAATCCGTTGAACTCATTAAGTCTGATATGTTATATGGTATGTTGGAACATATGTAAAATATAGATCACGCAACAGTACTCTAACCAGGACCACTTCTGTAGAGATGAACAGGTAGAGTAATTCCTATAAAAGAGTTCAATTTGCGTTCGTCTGTTGAACAACCTTACCATCATTGATCTGCTCACAAGTCTATCTCCAATACAGGCCTGAGAACCTGAAGAGTAACGAGCACACTGCCTAGGGCAGAATGGGCCCTTAATGCACGCCTTCCCAATGAGTGAACGTGCAGCGGTAATATACCTCCGAGGTATCCTTACAAGCCACTTGGTATCAACACCTTAGGAGCAGAACATGCTGTATACCATGTTACATATTTAGGAGGCAGTCAAACTCACTGAAAAATAATTACTACCCACTAATGTTGGGGAAAAAAAACTCATCACATGAGACATCGAAAGAAGGGTAAAAACTGTAGCTTGAAAATGAAGAAAGTATCTGTGAATTCGTTTTCTTCCCTGGATCGCCACAAAAGTCAATCTACCTTTAACTTCCTAATATGGAAATACAAGAGTTTCAAAAGAATCTTTCGTTAGCCATAATTTTATATAAAAAATGTGTTATTAACTTAAATTGGTAAGGAAGACCAATTAGTGGATGGAATGAAGTCCAAGCCCAATTATGTGTTCAAAACTGTGGGTCGAATGCCTTAAAAAATTCTTTCTCTTCAAGACTGCAGAAAAATACAAAACAACCCTCTTGACTGCTGAGAAGGGCTAAAAGTATTTCTTTTTCTCACAAGTATGTAATCAAAAGCAATTACTTTCTGCTCCTACCCAGCACAAAGCAATGCCATCTCCTCCCTCCCATCACCATCAAAACACGCTATGGAGCATCTCAGTACTTTAATCTTAGACTATAAGAATGTCAGATTGCAATAAAATTACAATTCAACGAAAACATTTTTCTAAGTATGTTCTCATTCCCTGCGGTGTTCCTATACTAATTTAGGTCCCTCTCAAGTATTAATAAACAAGAAAACAAGAAAATTCTCAGAACAGATATTCCAAATTGTTTTTTTTTCTTTTTAATTTACTATTGTTAATGGATTCCAAAATTCATGGTACTAACATTAGCAGGACAGTATCTTTCTGTCAATGGCAGAATTTAAATGTGAATTACTATTTAAATTATATGCAATTTTCCCTCTGACCCTACCTATAATACCGGTCAACAACCAAATGTTTAAAATAAACAACTAATCATGTTTACTTAAAAAGGTTATTGCTGAATCACTGAGAGGTTCTAATGCATCGAAAAAGCGGTAGCTCTCAGCTCTAGCCATGAATGCAGCTTGCAGACAAGCTGTCTCAAAAAGATTAGGAACTTCCAGTGACGGCAAATGGGGTAAAGCAGAAGGCACATACGTTATCTGTAGATGGTTCACTAATAAAACTGTTTCAACATCAAAAACTCAGAGCCTACAAAATGCCTGCAAGCCAAAAAGAAGAAGGAAGAAAAGTGCATCTATATACAAGGCAACATGAGAAACCACCCTGCAACTGAGCTTTTCAAGAACTGCAAACTTCTTAAGGTTCCTGGAGCTACCAACACATTCAAGTTCCAAAACAGAGCAACTATATTAAAAGAAAATTGGCATAAAATTCTAATGCCACCACATGTTGAAAGACACACAATAAATAATAATAGAAAACACTTCAACAGCGTTTTATCTGAAGTCCCTGTTCTAGGGACTTCACATTCTTATTTATTTACTCCTGATAACCTTCCTATAAAACAGGTTCTATTAAGATTATCTCCACTCTACGGATGAAGGAACTGAAGTACAGATAGATCAATTCGCCCAATGTCATACAGCTAGTAAGAGGAAGAGCAGGAGTTTAATTCCATTAGTCAGACTCCAAAGTTTTTGTTAACCAATGCACCGTGTTTTATGAAATGGTCAGCTTTTTTTTTTTTTTTAAACCTAATAACATTTTTGGATTTCAAACACTAGGATAGTTTTGTGCAATAAGAGGAGTACAGGCTTTGGAATCAAATCAAACCTGAACAAACCCCTGAACAAAGTCAAACCTCAGCTTCCCTGTATGTAAAAGGCAGGCATTTAAGTTATGGTGAAGGTCAAAGTAGATAATGCAAGTGCCACGTATAGTATACAAGATAGGGGTTCTTAACCTTACGTTCACAGACATCAAGTATCCACAGAAGGGCTTCAGAGTCTCTTTGTCTTACCAACTGTATGACAAATGTTGTATGTGCCCACCACCCCCCTTTTAAGAATCGTCTCCGGCTGTCCACAAACCTTCAGGGGATACCTGGATCTCTGAAAGGTTAAGAACCACCAAAGTACACAGCATCTACTCAAAAAAAAATGGAAATTCTCTTTCCTACTTATTCTCAAAAACTGTCCCTTTTCCATTAAGGGTGACACAACAAGGCTTCCCAATAAATGTCAATTATTTCCCAACCATTTTCCTGGTTTGGTAACTAATAACATATGTAAAGCTTATGTCCCAATTTCCTAGAGATGGTCTAAAGAAAGCCCTCAAACGATGATTCATCCCTCACTGCACCGAGATGAATCCACGGTATTTACTCGAGAAAATCGTGAGAATCATCCACCTAGCTGCACGAAACACCATGTCAGCTAGGAGAACCGAGTAGGTAATAGAACTTCCCAACTGCACCCTAGAGACCTGAACCCCAGCGCTGAGGGATGAGGAGAATGTGTTTCCCTAAACTAGTGGAAAACCCTAAAGTCTGTTTCCCCCATCCCTGTCCTGCCTCTCTGGAACTGCAGGGAGGTCCTGGGGCAGTGCCCCGGGCTACAGTGGGAAAGGAGAGAAACGTTACCCGACCAGCGCGACAGAGTCCCAGCTCTGCTGTTGGGGGCGGCGGCTGCAGCACCGCAACAAGACTGGCCCAAGATCCTCCCCGCAGAGACCCCAGTACAGATCTCGGCTCCGGCTGGAGACCGGCTCCAAGCTTTTCCGTTTCCCAAAGCGGCTTCCGCTTCCGGGCTAGGCTTTGCAGGAAGCAGTATTTGGATGACGCAAAGTGTCGCGCGGTTGGCGATTCCGGAAGAAACAAGAGCACGACGTGAACATGGTGAGGGGAGGGTTGGTGAAGTGATTTTGTTAGACCACGTTTTGGGAGAGGTCGAGCCAGTCAGCCGTTAGCCAAATTTCCTCTGTATTACTCTTAATTATTTTCATTCTGACTGTAGTTCTTAAACTGCTCCTCAAGGTGCCTGCTATACTGTAGCGAGTGGGGAGAGGAGGACCAGATTGGGGCACAGAGGATATAAGAGATGGTGGGTATTTGAGGGAAGAAGGGAAGGGAATGGACAAAACAAGAGAAAGAACTCAAGAAGATACTATGTATTTCTAATTCTTTTAACTCTAAAATTTCTGTTTCAAGGGGAAGCAAAAGAAAGCAAGGAAGTATGCGACTATGAAGCGAATGCTTAGTCTCCGAGATCAGAGGCTGTGAGTATCTGGAATAAATCTATTCCCGAAGATAAAAGTTAGGAGGACATAAGTAGTAAGAGTTTTGTCTTTATTTTGTGTTTACGTTTAAAGGTATTGTGTCTTGGTTTTGTATAGCATAGGATAGTAGGCAAGTGTGTAACCGCCACTTAGATGCTGAGTGATTAGGGAAGGGGGTGGGAATTAAACATTTCTGAAGTGTTCGCTCTCTTCCACCGTTTTTATGTCTTTTATCTATCATATCACATTTAAGCCCCCTTGAAGCTGGTAGGTTGGAATATCTTTGTGTTCTTGCCATTACCTTTCTTATATTCCCCAGTGGGGGGGAAAAAAAATTTGTTAAGATTGTTGAAAAACGGTGAGGTCAGAGACCGTGTTTGCCTTGTGTTCCCAGCATCTGTCACTTAAATATTTTTAAAAGAAAGAATGGGAAAACACCTAGATGTCTCCATTTTATAAATCTTACAAGAATCCAAACCACTGTGGGAGAGTGAAATGGTACTGCCTGTTGTAAGCTTCCTTGCTTCAGTGAAGAATAGACAAAGTTATGAAATAAGAAGTGGTCTTGGGGCACCTGGCTGACTCAGTAGATCACCGGACTGTTGATCTAGGGTGGTGAGTGCAAGCCCCACCTTGGGCCTAGAGCTTACTTTAGAAAGGAAGGAAAGGAAAGAGAGAAGAGAAGAGAAAGACTGGTCTTCATTGTATTTAATAACCTTAGAACAAAGAAATGCTCTTCAGTTACTAAATTGTATTTTCAGCCTTTAGTATGTATGTATTATGTAACTTTTAGGGAATTTGCCTCTTTGATAATATTTTATTTCCAGTTAAGTGTTAAATTTTGTGTATGTGTTTTTACGTTTTAGTCTTTTATAAGAGACATCTAGGGGAACCTTTTTCCTCCCCATTATTGGAACATTGGAGTCTTCAGAAGATAAATGTTAGCCTGTTTCTCCACTGCATTGAAATGGATTTTGATCCTTGATATGAAGAGCTTCTGACAAAGAAATGATAGTATAACTAACATTTATTTACCCATTAACATTTTTTTTTTAGATTTTATTTATTTATTTGTCAGAGAGAGACAGAGCACAAGCAGGGGAATGTCATGCAGTGGGAGAAGCAGACTCCCACCTAAGCAGGGAGCCTGCGATGTGGGACTTAATCCCAGGACCCTGAGATCATGACCTGAGCCGAAGACAGAAGTTCAACTGACTGAGCAGCCCTGGTGTCCCCCCTTTAACAGGTTTTATGGATTATTGGCTAGAGATTTTTAAATTTCATTATGTTTAACTGATTAGTTATTTTCAGCCTACTTCCCACACAGTTCCACACAATTATTTATGCTTAGAAAGTGGGTGTGGGTATTAACATGAATAAATCACAAAATAGGATTTCCTTTGTAAGCAAAAAAAAAAAAGAAGAAAGAAACTTTAAATGTTGAATGAGATTATAACTACAATGAGTTTTTCCTTCTCTCTTGCATTTAATTTACTTTCTTTTTTCCTAGTAAAGAAAAGGATAGATTAAAACCTAAAAAAAAAGAAAAGAAAGATCCCAGTGCACTCAAGGAAAGAGAAGTGTGAGTAATCAAAAATTTTAAGTTTTCCTTTAAACCTAGAAACCTAACATTTTAGAACCATAGAATTCTTAGAAATCCAGGCTTTCCCTGTGCTGTTCTGTAAGCCATCTGTAAGTCTGGCACAGCTATGCAAATGAAAGTGATATTGGTAAACGTGTATCCATTCTATTAGTTGAAAGGTTTTTGGATTTCATGGAGCAGTGAAATTTCCCCTAAAATCTTGGGGATTAGATTTAGAATTATTAATTTTTTTTCTTTGCCGTGATCTTTCAAAAGAAACAATTATCATTGTTTAACACACCAGCATTGATGAAAGAACGTATCATCAAAAGTAGTAACGACAAAATTTCAAGGTCATTCTTCTTAAAAAAATACACTTAATTTTATGAAACACCATCATATTTTCTCTGTTATCTCATTTTGCCCTAAATTGGTAATGGATATATCATCACAGGATTTATTAGGATTTATTTTCAATAAATAAGGAAAAGGAACTTAATCTATAGCAAACAGTTTAAAGCAGAGACTTCATTTGTGTTGTTGATAACAAAGTATCAATGTAGACATTACTTTGTGTTTTGTGTCTTCTTCCTTCAGCCCCCAACATCCTTCCTGCTTATTCTTTCAATATAACACACAACTGGGCCCACCTTACCACATCCTGGTTGATACCAACTTTATCAACTTTTCCATTAAAGCCAAACTTGACTTAGTGCAGTCAATGATGGACTGTCTTTATGCCAAGTGTGAGTATCATACTTTTACATTTTGTATCATTTATAAAGAATAATTATAATTATCCAAATACTTGAAAACAGGGGAGTGGGGTCTTAGTTAGTGGGATTTCTGGTCATTTAATTTGCTCACTGTAGCAATGACCATTTTCAGTGAGTTGAAATATAATGCAGACTTGACTGGAAATAATTGAACGTCACAATCAGAACATACTTAGCCTGCTTTGATGTTATGAACATCAATTTTGAACATGGGATGGGAATTTTTTGTTTTAGAATTCCAGATTTTAAAATTCTGGGTAAATGAAAATCTATTATGTTTTTCAGAATTCTTTTACATCAAGAAGGAAACATTCTCCATTCCGCTCCATTGTGGAAAAGCTAAATAAGATATTTTGCCATTTATGGTCACAGTACTAGAAGTGATGCTGTTTCGTGACTCCTAAGTTTATTCAGTGTGGTATTTATTTGTACCACAAAGGACCAGAAGTAGTTTATTTATACCTAGATGTGCAGTTTACCATTAGTAGCTTTCCCTTGTGTTTGGGTGTCCCCTCCCTCAAGTAATCTTCCTTCACTACCATGAGTAAGAAAAAGAAGAAAATCTAGGCCATGTACAAGGAAATCACTTCCTCATTTTGTGAGGGATTTACATTTATATTTTTTTAATATATTTACATTTGTATTTTTTTACCTTTTTTAAAAGGTACAAATGAAAACTAGACTTATACTTTGCCATAAAGAATAAATTGAAGTAAAAAATTTGCACATGCTCTAATTTTTAAAGGATGCTATATAATGAACATTTATAGAGTGATAGTAACATAAATGTTGTTTATTGATTGATTGAAACTAACAAGTTGGGAAGATGGGGTAAGAAATGTGATGAGTAAGAGATCTAAGTTCTTTAAATGCCGTAAAATTAATAAATACAAAAGTGCATAAGTTTATTATATCAAGATATGAAGGTAAACACCAAATGAGAAAAACAGCTAATGAAGTAAAATAGTGGTCTCTGAGGATCCGAATTGGTGGGGTAGGAAAGGATTTTTTCACACAGACTTTGCCATATTTCTTTTTAAGCTGTGGACATGTGATACTTTAATTGGTTTAAGCTTGTTGGAATAATAAAGAAAAATAACCTGAGGGTTTTGAAGGGGC